AAGTGTGTTTCATTTTGCTGATTAGATGATGTTTATACTTCGTTTGGTCGCCAATCTTGATTGGCTGCTCTGACCTAATGAACACAGGAAAGCGCTTGTCCTTCTTTGGCGCTACGGCGCTGTTATACTTTATAAGGTGACGAATTCCATATATTATTATTTCAGAATTCATTTCCTTATATCTTTCATCCCTATTTAGCTAATTGCCGAATGCAATGCACAAAAGGGTCACATGGAGCAGAAGGAGCGTCTCGTCACTTTATCAAGCCAGTTGGAGTTTAAGAGCAATCTCAGAGTATGATTCAGTTTTTACTTAAATGCTTAAGTAGAAAATGTTCATTTATATCGTGATCATCTTCTCTTAAAGGCTGTTGGCACAGGCAGTCGGGAGTTGGTTAAAGAGGGGAACCTGCGACTGCTGGACACATCAAACTTGCCAAATGCTGCCTTTAGGAGGAAATTGTCTGAGGCTATTAAAAACAAGCCCGTTCAAATCACACTCTTCTTATTCACCGACATTCTCTTGGTTGCGAAGAGGAAGGGGTGAGTTCACTAAAATCTCAAACCATCTACAGCAGTGAGATTCAGTTGCTACTTATTTATTCGTCCTTTTTTTCCATGACTAATGTACTTCAATGGATATGCCTATGGAATATACTAGTGAGCCATATTCTAGCTTACCTTCGTAACATGGATAGAACAAGGATCGTTTGCGAAAAGTACATGAAGATAGCGCATGACGTTGGAGAGCGATATTTGTGACTTATGTTTGAAAATTATCATTCAAGGTATAAACTTGATTGCGCACTTAACTGAGTGAATCAGTATAAGTTAATCAGAGGCTTGTCGTAATCGCAGAGAAAAGTATTTCGTTGAGGACATCAGTCCGGTGGATGATCTGAGAGTCACGATTGAGGCTCCGCCGGAGGACGATATGATTAAGAGGACGGAGCTAAAAACGAAGGCCAACCCTGACGATCCCTTCTATATCGTGCCCAACATTCGGCCGGACCGCTCCGTCTCGGTGCGCCAGTCACGTGAAGTGTCGATGACGCGACAAGGAGTCCACTTCCGCGAGCGTTCTCGCTCCCGCGGTGGCTCCACTCGCCAGCTTGCTGGCATCGGTGCAACTAGCATTGCCAGAAACTCCTCCATTGGAAGCAGTAGCGGAGCTGCTGAAGGCGCTATAAGCTATATCGGTTACCCCTTCATACTAACTTTCCAATCTACTGACTTCACCATTGTGGACTACCACTTCCTATGCGATACTCTGTAAGTACACACCTGGCATGACCTTGTTAGTCATCTTTGAATCAGTAGACCAGCTTTTATTTTATTTTTTCTCGTTCAGCTCTCAACGCGAGCGATGGGTCGACGCGCTACAGCCCGACTACTATAGTGTTCCATCGGAAATAAGCTATGATACTTGGGGTAAACTTATTGCCATTTTGTTTTATTTATAAACTTCAAGGCTTTTCTCACTATGCCTTATGATTTGGTATCATAATAGCAATATCTGATTTGGTGATTATTTTTAATTTTCTTCTCTGTCGATTCTTTGGAAGTTATGTTGGAACTTGGCAATTTCAGCATAACTTAAGTGCCATGACAGTTGTGGCCTCGTGTCTACTAGTGACCTGACTCACTGACTTTGGTGAGGGGGGGGGGAATATGTAAGCTAAATATGCGTTTTTTATGACTGTTAATTTACTTCCAATACATTGTTTTTGCTGATAATTGAGGAAAAAACCGGTGCCTCTAAACGAATGCTCCTTTGTTTTCCTTGAAGAGTCATTGCTTGCATTACAAGCAACTTGTGTCCCTTTTTTAATCCGCATGAACTAACGTTATTTTGTCCCAGGTTTTTTTTGGTAAAAACGTATTGGAATTAAAGAAATGCAGCTAAACTTTCTTTCTAAATTCCTTATGTGTTTCAGCCGCGCATATTAAAGTGAATTTTATAGCGTTATACTC